ACGGTGCCTCTGAGATGGGTCAGTAATTAAGGACCCCTTTGACAAATGAGCTGTGGGGTCATTTTGATCCCTTGTTTGGCTGAGTGGCCAGAGGGAACCCTACAGAACTCTTAAACCCCATTCAGAGCCCTGAATTCCTGCCTCTTGGAATCACACATTAGGGAGAGTTCATTGTAATACACTGCCATTTTCCAAATCAGAAACAAGCACAGACGAGAACTGAGGGAATCAGATTGTGATTTTCTGAAATATTTAAACCCAAATTTCCTGTTTTCCAAGTTTGTGCTTGCAAACCTACAAAATAATCTATAAAGTGTAGCTGTTACACATTTAAGAGAAAAAAAAAGGAAGTGACCTTTGCCACTCTTTTCTGGGGCTCTCTTTAGGACCAGTCGTTAAAATTGGTAGGGAATCCAGTCAAAATGAAAGTACTAATTCAGCACCTAATCTGTGCCTTGCAACTTGGCAGAGTGCTACCAGGGTGCCCAAGGACAGGTGGGCATCAGGTGTTTTTGCTGCCCAGCATCCCCTGCCAGCAGCTGTCTGATGCACTCACCCCACCAAATGCAGTGTGAGGGGGTTCCCACCAAAGTGCCTGCCCTCCCCTGGCCAGTGTGACTCATGGTGACTTGGGGTGCAGAGGAAGCATGCTTGAACGTCACTGGTCCAACTGCACACCTTCAAAGTGGGATCCTGTCACCCTGGCCACTTGGGTCCCCCTCGCTGGTTCCCATCATTGCCTTAGTATTCCCACTATCCGAGGAGCTGCCTTGTTTTCCAGGACATGTCTTTTGCTTGAGTTCATCAGAGTCCATCTGTTGTTTGAAACTCACAACCTCCCATGGATGAAGGAGAGGAGGGGCTCTCTTCAGCCGGAGCACCTCTCACTGTACCCCCCCCTCCCCGCAGGCTGGACGTTACCTGGACAAGCCCCTTCATCCTTTGTTGGAACTGGAAATGTCAAAGGAAACGGCCACATCTGAAGACCCTTGTACTCTAGCCAAGAAGCGCTCTGTGCACCTAAAGCATTTCTGTAGCGCTTGTTCAGGCTGGCACCACTCTCCCCTCCCCCCAGGGTCCTTCGTGTTGCATCATTGCACAGCAAAACATGTCTTAGTCTAATTTTTATAACACATGGACACCACAGATTGTCCTGTCTCTAAATGAGTGACTTTGTGGAGTCATCTTTTTCTATTAGAAATCACTCCTGAAACATGGAATCCAGATGGGAGAAAAGAGATAAAATTATTCACAGTGGGAGCGCAGCATAGAAACCATCTCCCCCATGCCGTGGTCTGGAAGTTTCCATGAGGCTCAGATCA